GGACTCTCTCGCTGCATCTCTTTGTCTCTCTCCCTCTGTGTCTCTCTGTGTCACTCTGTGTCTCTGTCTCTGTGTCTCTGTCAGGCCTTGACTTGGACGCGAAAAGTGCCACATGTTGGGGCATTCATTTTAGGACTTCCCCCAAGAACAAAACCATGTGCGCCTGACACGTTTGTTCCAAGAGCGCCTTCGAGCCGATCAGCGAGCTGCCTGCAACTTGCTATATATGCTAATTGTTCGGTGCAGTATGTGCAGTTGCTCTGTGCAAGTTCTTGCGCAGCAGCTCTTTTCGAGTGGCTCTCTTCGAGTGGTCTCTTTCAGAATGCCCTGTGCGGGGTGGGTGCTTCGCACAAGTGCGACGCGGTCTGCGCACTGCTAAAAACGCTCTGCGCAAGTCTGCGCAAGTGCTCTGCGCGTAGCTTTGTTCAAGTTGCCCCGCGCAAACTCTGCGCGCAAAACAGTCTTTCCACGATGCTCTTCGTATTGCTCTGCGCAAATGCCTGGCACAAGTTGCTCTGCGCAGGTGCTCTGCACGCATGTTTGCAAAATTCTCTGCGCAGCAATGTACGTCTGTGCAAGTCGCTTTGCACAAGTGCTCTGCGTGCTTTGCGCAAATTGCTATGCGCAAGTCTGTGAAGTCTGCGCGCCGCCCTCCGCGGGTGCTCCGCGCAAGTTTCGTTGCGCAAGTCACGATTTTCGCGGGGACGCACTTCACGTAATATGTTGTACGGAATGGAATGGAGCTGCGGGCATGCGGTTCACGAGGCAAAGGCAAAACCAGCAGGCAACTTCCGGGGACCAGCTCGCGAAGCAGCAGCAAAAACACACACAAAGTTCGTACAGGACCAGCGAGAGGACAGACCATCCCCGCAAACCGGGATCACCAAAAAAAACAAAAAGCCCTCAGCTTTCGCGCATCAACCTCACGCCGATCCCCGCAGAGGGTTGCGCGCAGACCACAGAAATCGCAAAAAGCTAGTCCTTAGCTTTTTGTCGTCGACCACGCCAACCCCCGCAGAGCCGCAATCCCGCGCAAGGAGCCCGCGGTAAGCCGCTGCAGGGGCCTGGCGGCGGCCTAGCTGTTTGGGCGGGGTCGTCGTGGAGTTCTACACAGAGACAGGTAGGGGCAAAGGCAGATCACAACCTTCGCCTGTTCCACTTGACGGCTTGGCCCCCCAAAAATGCAAAGGTTGCACCTGCCAAAAGAAGAATCTTCCACTTACGCAGACTATTCACACCCAGACTATATACACCCACACTACTCTACACAGGCAATGGCGCGCAGACTACTCGCCTCTGTGCAGACTCTGTGCAAGTTAGTCTGCGCAAGTTGCTCTGCGCAGATGGCTCTGTGCAAGTAGCTCAGCGCAAGTTGTCCCGGCGTGACTCTGCGCAAGTGGCTCTGTGGAAGTTGCTCGGTGCAAGACGCTGTGCCCTAGTGCTCCATGCGGAAGAAACCACTTAGTCATGTTTTTGGAAATTTCTGGGCTCCCGCGCATCGAGGTCAAACTCACCTGGCCATGAAAAGCAACTGCATGCACTGACCGCAACAGCGGTCAACTGGGGACCATGGTCGTACCCCACGGAGAAAGAAACCAAGAAAAACTTGTTCAACCAGTCTTGGCCAAACACACCCTTTTCTACTGGTGTCCGCGTCTTGTCGCTGGTGCCCGTTTTAAGGCTGTTTTACAGGGCTTCGTGTTTCTTGCTACCACTGGAACGGTCTTCCCGCAGCAGACCAAGAGGAAAGAAATCCCGCCGCAGCATTCGGGGCCCGCCTGACACAGCGCTGGCAATGTCCCGGGGCACCTCGCGGATTCCACTCGAGTATTCAGAGGGGCTTTGGTTTGCAAAATCAGCTGCGCCAGTCAAACGAAGTGCCCCCCAGAATATTGAGGAGCAAAAGTAGCAATACCAGATCGGCTTTTGTGGATGAATCCCAACAGCCACCAGCCCCCAGCTAATTTGGATCTGGGCCGCCGGGCCTCCACTGAGGGCATCTCTAAACGGGGCGCCTGTGGCGAGGTGGGCAGCTCCGTGGGCACCTCGAAATCGAATCCCCGGCACTTCTGCAGCTCAGCATGGTTTTGCACAAGGCCGCATTGGGTTGGTGTGCTTATGACCATGACGAATGTTCCTCCACGGCTTTGCAACTTGTTCTTGATTTAGCTGTTCCTCCATTTGCAAAAGTAAACATCTTTCCAGCCCTGTAAGGCTAACAGGGGAAAGTACAGCATGTTCCTAAGCAAAAAGAAGTGTCGTAGATGGTGTGTGGCATCCTAACATGATTAGAGTTGGGCCCAGTTGTAGAATGCATATTTCATTGTTTGCTTCACGCTGAGTCAGTGAAGTGAGCGGTACAAAGCAAAATGTATCCTAAGTCTACCCCAGCTAAGACTCCTGTTCGATTGAAAAGGCTAGCAAATGGAGGCATCGTAGAGGGTGTGTGGCATCCTAAAACTCCTGTTCGCTTGATGTTGGTTGAGGGGGGGGGGATCCAAAAATCATAACTGCAAAAAAAGCACACGCAAGCTTGCCTCCTAGCTGGTGCGACGGGGTCATTTTCAGGGCGTTTTGATTGTTGTTTTTCGAGTGACGGAAAGCTCGAAGAAATTTCGGTGTGTGTGTGTGTGCGCGTGTGTGTCTCTGTGCGTGTGTGTTTGCGTCTTTGCGTGTGTCCCCTTGTGTGTCTGTGTGTGTGTGTGTGTGTCTGCGTGTGGAGCGTCATGTGTGGTGTGTTGCGTTGCGACGCGGTGTTGTGCGGTGTGATGGGGCGTGGCGCTGTGCTGCGCGGTGTTCCGTGTTGTGTGCCGTTGTGACGCAGTGTCGGGTGTGTTGATGTTGTGATGTTGTGTGTTGTGTTTCGTGTTACATGTTGCGTGTTGCATGCTTATTGCGAGTTGTGCGCAGTGTGGCTTGTAGGTTCCCAGCACAAAATGGTGTATCAGATCAAGAGGACCGCAACATAGTGGTTTTCTTGTTGTTTTCATAGTTTCCCGTTAAACCATGAAGAAGCCATCCTTTAAACACACACACACACGTGCTGGAAAAACAAAGCAAACTACTGTGGTTCTCCAAATAGGAAGAAGAGGAACCGAGCTCAGTCCGGACCGGTGGCTTCTGAATTCTCACGGTTTTACGGAATGGCTGCGCTCGCTTGCCCAGACTTGCATGAGCTCAATGAAAAAGGAACCTTCTAGCCTTCGGTTTTCTGGGCGCCCCGTTTGTTGGGAGGAGCCTCTTTCTCGCCGGGTTTCAAAGAGGCAACAAGGGTCGCTAACTTCAGTTTCTGAGGCTGAGCACGGGCATCTCCGAGGGGGACAGCCCCACGGCCGAAGATCCCAATGCCGAGGACATTGCTCCTGGCAAAGGAAAATCAGGGACCCTACCCACGCCTGCCCCAGGTGTTGACCATAAACTCGGGGTGTTGTGGAAAATCCGGGCTTCTGTGATACCAAAGCGCGCCATCCCCCAACATCACGTTAAAATGGTCCTCTGAGGCGTCCTGGCCGGGAGATCCTGCCAACAAATCCTACCCATACATCTTGATCCTGTAAAGATCCTCCCGCACACATCTTAAGACGGTCGAGGTCTTGCGCGTGCGCGGGGCTGACAAAGATTTCGTTGCGAGAAATATTGTAGAGCATGCTCCCTGCAGATCTTGATCAGAACACTCGTAGAGGCTGTCCTATAAAGAGATCAAACCCAGAGACGCTGTGCCGAGATGGACTAGGGTTGGGCTGTTGGGCTGTTCGGGTGTTGGGCTCGTGGGCTGCTGGGCTGTTGGGCTGCTGAGAGGAAAAGTGAAGGGAGAACAGAGATTCCTTGTTTTGGCGGTTTTCTGCCTGGACATGTAGTGACTCATGATAACTTGATGAATCAGATATCCTGCGCCGGCCCTGCGTAGAGACCCACTCAACAGATCATGCGCAGGACCTGCCAAGGTTTATGTCGAGACATCTTGTAGAGGACTCACTCTACAAATCCTGAAGAAAGAGCTTGCAGCTGCAAACATCCTTCCACAGAGATCTTGCCGAGGGATTTACAGAAAAATGTTTGTGCTTCTGCTGCGGCTAGTTTCATGTTACCTGCGCGGGTTCCTGTCTGACATTTTTAGCCACTGTTTGCAGTCCTTGCCGGTGAGGTCAACCGGCACGGGACAACAGCCAGTAACGCCAGTTGGCTCAAATCTCAGGGACCCAAAGGCTCAATATCTCCCCCCACACAGGTTTAGACAAAGCGACTTTCCGTTTCCCAAGGAGACATGTGCACCAAGCATTGCTTCTTGGGAGGGTCCCTTTGCCAGGAAAACCAAACCATGGAGGCTATGTCAATGGTCTCAGGGGATGGGTCCAATGACCCGGGCCCAGTGACAAGTTGAGTAACTATAAACCTTTGGTGCAAGCGATCGGAGCGCTTTTGATAGAAGAGTCCCCAGGGAATGAAGGGACCAACTAGTTCCTCCCAGACAAGGCACACCAAATACATCGCTTGCTGTTCGGCTCCCATCACGCCTGATCGCAACGGAGGCACCTCCTGCACACGGCGAAAACAGCCGGACAGGGCGGAGTCCACATCCAACCACATCCAATCACAAAGCCCGCAAATTGAGGGCTCGAAGAAGGGATCCTTACTACTTGTTGTATACTTACGGCGTACCCCTGCATAGACTGTCCACATTGTCGGTCCCTTTGTTTCGTGTGGGGGTGATCCCTCAATTGTCCAACAAGGCAACATAGTGATCCTTAAGCAGGGGGCCAATATCACCCCTAAAGGCCTTTCCAGTGGGCAAATTCTCCATGAAGTCGTAGTTTCCCAGAATCCGAACCGTTTTCTCAAAGTTGGGTCGAACATCCACCATGAAACTCGCCTTTTCCTGCTCTTTGCCCAGCTCCCCTGCATCCCTTCCGTCCCCTTCGTCCCTGCCGTCCCCCTTCGTCCCTTCCGTCCTGCGTCTGGGTCGGAACGCCTGGCCGCTTGGTCAAGAGCCCAGAAATTTGGGGCGCCTGACATAGGGAGCGCCCTGAAGTTGAAAGGTTGATTGTACTGCACGCAGGGCATGCACCGAGGACATCACCTCTACCTGATTGCTATGTCCAGATGAGGCTTGAAACAACTGCGACACACCGAGCCACAAATGGCCACACAAAGGCAGGGCACAGGTTGAAGGCAAGTCTCCTTTGACGTTCCAATCCGGAAAAACTACTACTTGCCCGGCCTCGGTTAAGTGCCCCAAAATCCAAACTAAAACCCCTTGCATATAGGTTGGCACACTCAACTTGAACGGAATATGAACGGAATATGGTCGCCATGAGCTACATGAAAGTCACAATTTGGCTATTCAACAGATCCCCTAAGGGGTGCTAGTTGGTACACGCACAGTGGCTCCTGAAAGGAGCGCGTGTGCTGATGTCTTGTTGCCTTTTGACTTGTCGCTGGCAAAAAGCAACAAATCCCCTACAATTTACAGGTTGGCTGGTTGAAGGGGAAATAAAGGGTTATCAACCAGGCCAAACAAAAATGAGAAAGGCCCGTATTGTTTGTTTCTCAAAACCGGGCCTTTGGGTGTTTTCCCTTTCTTTCCCTTTGGATTCTCTTTACTTCAGTACAAAGAGGGTCCCAAAGGCGAATCCAGGACTCATACATCCCATTGATAAGTGGGTGATCCAAATTTAGAGGGGTTGGGAGTGGTTCAAAGGGAACTCCAGGGCACGCCGCCATACTGTGGATGGACGAAATGCATTTCGCGCCACCTAAGATGCCCTGAAGTGATAATTCCCCTGTAAATACCAACAAACAAATGGTGTCCCGTGTTTCAAAGTGGTGCAGGATTTTGTCCATCCACAGTAGGTCTCCAGGTGAGATAGCCCCGTATTTTGAGAAGATCGCCCAGTGAAAAAAAAACAACGGTGAAACAATGAAAAACTAGCTTCGTACTTTTCGGAACGCTTCCCCGCTGGCCCTTGTCTGCTTAGTACTCTGTTTAACATCCGAAGGAGGTGGATCCACCTCAAAAACAAAATCCACCACCGTTTTCATCCGGAGGTCTGGGATCCCTAAGACTGGGTCCCAAGTAAACTTTGGGGCGGCAAACAAAATGGAGCGCAACCTTGGCGCGGTTGTCCATTTGGCTTCCCTTTAAACCTACCCAACAAAAAAGTACCCTCGAACAAAAAAAACACACACACACACTCATCGCAAGGACCAAGAAGTTAGCTTAGAGCATGTCAATTGAACGGACCCAAGGACAAAACAAACCGAAAACAGTCCGTCTTTTGCCCACCCATTGTGGGGGTTTACCCAAACAAAAAGGGATTTCACAGCAAGAACTGGGACAAGGGGGCCCGTGCAAGACGGGCCAATCACCTCCGATGTCGGACCCCAGATGGGTGTCTTTTCAGGGTACACTTTGGAGTCAACCAAAAGGAAACCGCCCTTCTTGTGGGGGTGTCCTGAAAGAAACGCCCGGTTTTTAGAGCGCACACGGGACATTCGCCCACACGGGTCGCCCGAATTTCCCCGACAACTCCAACCGCCTGAGAGCACAGTGCCCTCCACTGTCGGCACCTGAAGGTTGCGACGCTGCGGTTTCGGATCCGATTCACCCATTGAAGCTTCCTGCTGGCATGGGTTTGTGTAGGCTTATTGTGTACAATGATCTAGCTCTATATGTATATATATATCCATATAATGTATAGTTATGATACATGTAGTCTTCCAACACCTCCAAATGTCAGCGCCCGACACGGCTTTGGGACCTCTTTCACCGGACGTTTGGTAGAACCCAACGTACGCTTTCAAGGGGACTCGATTGAATACAACCTTCACTGAACCCAACGAGTAGAGCCACCTACATCGCCCAAAAGGGGCGGCCAACCCCCGGCCGATTTGCTGCCTCGGTGCCGAAGAAAGGCTCCTCCGTTGGGGAGGTGGGCATCTCCGTGGGCACCTCACGGAGCCCAAGCCCAAGCATCTCAGCTGTCGCAACCAAAGATGTGGTTCAAGAGTTGAAATGTGATTCATCGCTTCGAACGAGATCCCACTTGCCCCTTATCCTACTAGCTCGAACGCTGGGGTATCTTAGGTCCATGTTTGATGATGTAGAAGAGGCTCGCTTCGAACCCTCAAAGCGCTTGCAACTCCAGAGATCCGCTGCGGGTCCTAGCCAATGGAAGGGACCTTGTTTGAAGCTGCTGTAATGCGCATGACTGAGAGCACATTCTATATCAGGCTTGCCAACCGGACGTGGCCGGTGATATCACCTGTATTTTGGCCTTGTCGAGAATTGATTGCCTAGCGACCAGGCAGAACCACTCTTCGGTATCACAGAAGTGTGAAGTGGGACGGGGCTCCGTCTGTTCCCCATCCCCGGCGGGACGTAAATCCACTTTTGGCAACCAAAAAGGTGATGTTTAACGCCTCCCTTTGGCAAACAGCCCCAACAACGGGGTGTTTAACTCTAAAATACATGTGCAATATGATTCCAAGACCGACTTGCTCAAAGCACGATCACCTCTTGGGGCGTGGACTGAACATGGAAATCGAAATACAAGACAAAAATAACGTTGTATCATAAAGCTGCTCCTACCCCTGCCACCAAACACACACGCACACCAACAAACAGACTTAAACAACAAGCAAACAAGCAAAGAAACAAACATAACAAACAAAACAAATAATTAGACAAACAAACTATCAAAAAACAATCAAACCACTCCAATGGCACCAAAGCAAAGCAAAGCAAACCCAACCCAACCCAACCAAACACATCAACAAACAAACAAACAAACAAACAAACAAACAAAGAAAAAAAGAAAGAAAGAAAGAACGAAAGAACGAAAGAAACAAACAAACAAACAAACAAACAAACAAACAAACAAACAAACAAACACACACAAATAAGCACACAAGCAAGCACACAAGCAAGCAAGCAAGCAAGCAAGCAAGCAAGCAAGCAAGCAAGCAAGCAAGCAAGCAAGCAAGCAAGCAAGCAAGCAAGCAGGCAAGCAGGCAGGCAGGCAGGCAGGCAGGCAGGCAGGCAGGCAGGCAGGCAGGCAGGCAGGCAGGCAGGCAACACACAAACACACATGCGCACACATACGCGCACACCCCCGAAAAACTCGACTGCTCATCAATGTTTGCCTCTCTCTGTCTGTGGTTGTGAGTGGTGTTTGCGGGTTGCTTTCAGAACTTCAGAAAATGCAAAGGAAGAAGAAAAACAACTCTGCAGCAAGAAACCGTTGCAAGCAGGTTTCGCAAGGCATGTTGTTGTGTTAGATTTAAAGAAGCGACAGGCAAAAACAAGCGCAGCCCAGAGAGCGGAATGTCAGGCCAGAAACACACACCGCCAAAGTTTCTTCACACCGCGTTCCTCATATTTCCCCGGAAAACATTACCCCCTTGGAAACTCACCTAGGGGCCCGCAAGATGTTTGAAAGAAAGGGAGCCCTGCTAAAGGGCGGTGTTGAAACCAACCTGCGTCATGTAAGCCTGGCGCCAGGACTGAGGTCCCGCGCCGGCATCTCGACCGGCGACGCCGGCGAAGGGGCCGAGGACAGAGCTGGCCGGGAGATGGCGCTGGGTTTGCGATGTGTTTTCTTGCTGGTGCGATAGGCAGTGAATGAGTTGGAATGACCCCGATTCAAACCATCCCCTATGGTTTCCTTTAAGGAAGTGAAGGAGTTGAATGACCCTGATTTGAGAGAGTTGAAATGACCCTGATTCAAACCATCCCCTATGGTTTCCTTTGAGGAAGTGAAGGAGTTGAAATGGCCCTGATTCAAACCATCCCCTATGGTTTCCTTCAAGGAAGTGAAGGAGTTGAAATGACCCCTGATTCAAACCATCCCCTATGGTTTCCTTTAAGGAAGCGAAGGAGTTGAATGACCATGATTTAAACCATCCCCTATGGTTTCCTTTAAGGAAGTGAAGGAGTTGAAATGACCCTGGTTCAAACCATCCCCTATGGCTTCTTGTAAGGAAGTGAAGGAGTTGAAATGACCCTGATTCAAATCATCCCCTATGGTTTCCTTTAAGGAAGTGAAGGAGTTGAAATGACCTTGATTTAAACCATCCCCTATGGTTTCCTTTAATGAAGTGAAGGAGTTGAAATGACCCCGGTTTAAACCATGCCCGATTTGGCTTCCAATTTAGGTTGGTTGGTTGGTTGGTTGGTTGGTTCGTGGCCAGCGCATGTTAGCGAGGCCAGGCCCGCGCTTCCCCCCCGGCCGAAGCTTGGGGTTCAAGCCGGCCGGAAACTAGATGCAGCCAAGACACAGGCCACACCATGGGCGAGCGGGTCAACCCAAGGGTGGCGCAAGTGTGGAAAACAGCAACGCAAGTAATGCCCACGCTGGGGCCACGGAGGGCCACGCAAGGGCCAAGACAGGAAGTGCAGGAAGGCCACGAGAAGGCCACAGAAGGCCATGACGGGGCCGAGACAGGAAGCAATGTAAGCAAGGTAAGGCCACGCAGGGCCAAACATGCCATGCGGGGCCGCAGAAGGTTGCGCAGGGCCCAAGACAGAGAGAGCAAAGGCCACGAAGGCGACAGAGGGAGGAAGCAGAGAAAGGCAAAGTATGGCCACACGGGGGCCGAAGAAGGCCATGCAGAGGCCAAGACAAAAGTCCCGCAAGGGTCCAGCAGCCAAAGACGGAAGCAAAGTAAGCAAGACCCGCAGGGGGCCACGGCCACGCAAGGGCCAAGACAGGAAGCAAAGAGAGCAAAGTAAGGCCACGCGGGGCCACAGAAAGCCACGCAGGGGCCAAGACAGGGTACAAAGGAATCCCAAAACGGTTCATTCCCTCATTTCCTGCTGAGGTCTGGGTGCTTCTGAAAGTTAGGCCTTTTTGGTAGGTGATGTCCTGTTGGGTAGCCCAAAAAGAGGTCTCCCACAAAGGCGTTTCCAATTTTGAGACAGACCCTTCTAGACAGACAAGGCGAACGCAGGGACTGTGCTTGAAGAGAAGCCAAATGGACAATTCCGAATCCAAGCAAACCTCAACTTCTCAACTGATCTCAAAGGGGACCGCTCCAGTACCCATGCGGAAAACAGCACCTTTTCTTTGGTAGGTGAGTCACAATCAAAACCAGTATGAAAGGAGTTTACGCAAAATTCCGCAATGAATCCAGAGGCACCTATCTTTCATTGGTGTTGTTCCCATACTAACCTTCTGCTACCCGGGTTTGAATTGTGTTTCAGGTGATTTTCAAGAGACACCCTCCAAAACCCTGGCAACACCAAGGTCAACAAGAGAACAAAGAAAGTCAAAGTCAGCGTTTGCTTGCTTGTTCTCAGAAGGGACCCTACCCCCCCCCCCCCGCCACCACCCCAATGACCAGCCCAAAAATTGAGGGCAATGAGCCTCATACAGGAAGTAAGGCTTTACAGCTTGACGGGGTCTTTGCGAGGGCTCTATGGAGTGCCTGGAACTCCGAGAAATTCCAAGTGGATCCTTGGAAATTGGAGTGCCACTCCCCTCACTTGCCAATCAACGTCAGCCAATGGGATCGCTTCGTGGCTCTCGCGATCCCGTTCCTTGCAGCCCTGCGAGAGACTCGAGCCGAAACGAATCGATTGAATCGGACAGGCACTTTTCAGAAGCGACAAAGCAAGAGTAACATAAGACAACCATCCGAGTCCCCATGAGCAAATAGACAGACATGAACAAATAAGCAAAGACAAGCGAAGGAGAGTTCCCCGTGCGTTCGCCCAAAAAGGTTTGGGAGCAGATTTGAAACCTGGTAGAATAACCAAAACGGAAAAGCCATCAGAGGATTTGCTACCCTCAAGTTTGATAATCTTTAGGAAGAACCCCTGCCCAAGGTACGCTGATCTTCCAACGGCTCCAAAAAGCCCCGAAACTCTCTCCTGACCTTCCTTCTGGTTAAGCACGTCCATTCAAAACCCGTCTGGCAGGGAAGCTCCCCCGAACAAAACCCGCGATGATGCGGACGGAGAGTCCATGGATTCACGTTTCTCTGGGGGCCCAACAAAACAAAGCGTGTTGCCCAAACGGGAATCCTTGCAAGTGCCCCAAATTGTGCAACTGCATTCAACTACACACCAAGGGAACTCCAGTAAATTCAGGAATTGGTTTCCTTGTTTAAACTATGGCAGGGGATCCACCGTACTCGGGCCTACTCAGGCCAAAACCCGTCCGCATGGCCTGACTGGTCAGGGACTGGGAGATCAACCTGAGTCGCAACATGGAGCTCCCTTTGGCTCCCCTTTTAACTTTCCCGGAAGGGAAACGCACAAAAACGGAGACGCACATATTGCAAGTACAGTACGTATACCCTCAAAAAGCAGACATGCCTTTTTTTCTTGCAAGTACCCTCCCGGCGGTTCCATGCATTCCCCTTTCACTTCGAGAAGAGCAGCTTCCACTTGCAGGGTACCTGACGGCCCTCAGGTTTGCCAAAATCAAAAGCTTGGGGAAATCACTGCGACCTCTACTTCACTGCGACTTCCGACGCCCGGAAATGGGTCTGGCTCGCGTCCCCGCCAACGCCTCAAGTCTCAACCGAAGAAACGCCTGGGTCGGTAGGGGCGTAAGAGGTTGGCAGCGAAATGTCCAACAAGTGAGGCTTGTCCAAACCCATGGCTCAAACATGCTTAATTGACTGTTGTTAGGCTAAGCCCTTCGGACACCAACCACTTTGAAGATGATTTCCTATTGTAACTACATGCCGTTCATGGCCAAAATGCTTTAGCTTCTGCCGCGAAACCGGCAGTTGAAGCTAAGAATATGTTTTTTTTCCTGCAGTTCCTAGAAGAGTTCGGTCCTCTTTCTCAGAGTTTTTGGGTGTCCTAAGTCATTATTGTTGGACCAAAGCGGCTGGATGTTTTTTGCTGGGTTGTTGATGGTTTGCCTCTCCCAAAAAAGAACAGATCCCTGGAGACAGAGGGTGAGTTGTCCGCCCAAGATATGATTCAGCCCTTATTGGGGGCATCCATCTAACTCAGCACCGTGTCTAGGTACGTGAATAAACCGAATACACCCGATCACTCAGAGAGTCCCTCTTTGCTTGTCATAGTTTCTCAATCTGGGATTCACAGTGCTTACAAGTTGGCAGTTTAGTCACCCCTTGAAACGAATCCAGTCCCTACACCCAGTTGATTTACCCAGCAGAGTTTGGCCAAAACCTGGTTTCAACATCTTTGAACCAGTGTTCAAAGTTCCAAAGCAGCCTCCTGTTGATTTCTCTTCAGGGGGTCAGGGTCGCAACTGGATGTTGAAACCAACGATCCGAAGCCGGTGGCGCATCCACTTCTCCCCGGGCCGGGCGCCCGCGCATCCAAATCAAACTCGCCTGGAAGCTTCGCTGTGGCTGTGAGGAAAAAGGCAACATATGGACGGCGCGTCTTTTCTTGGGGCCGCACAAAAACAACAGTGGCGTCGTGTTTTTGTTGTTGGTTCTCAAGAAAGGACACTCAGATATCTTGAGCGAACCTCACAAACGAGGAAATCATGCCAAACATATCAGGCATATTCTCCAAAACCCTCGCACCCGCTGCGCCGCCAGTTTCGTCCCCTGGGCCGCAAGTTGTGCAAGATTGCGCCTAAAACCGCTCCCTTGAAAGAGTCCCCTGGAAGGGCTGGTAGGGTCCCTGGACATGGCCCGACACTTTCCCTTGTCCAACCACCCTCAAAGGCCTCTGGGCTTTCAATGGCGCTCCAATTGGAAGAAAACGGTCCTTGAGAAACACCCAAATGACAGGGTGTTCCTTTGACCCCTTGGAACAAGTTCGGCCTGACCCCACATTTATGAACCCATGAATTAACATGGGGCTCCTAGTCAACCAGGAATTCTAAATCCGGGGTTGCCAATCAGAGGAAATCTGCAATTCCAACAAGGAATCAGCTTCCCGCTCATTGGTAGTTTGGGCTGCTGGTTTGGAGGTTTGGTGGGATTGCCCATTTACCCTCTACAGGAACCAGGGGCTCACCATCCAAACCACCAATCGAGAATTGGCTACTTGAAGAAAGTTTGAAAAGAAGAGCCCCGGGGCACGTAAACGAAACCAAGCCGCTGCTCAACTGAATAAGCCCGAAAAACAAACCAACAGCGAACATGAACTGAACAAACAGTGTCATCTAACAAGCAACATAACACTACAACACAGCACAACATAACAACCAACATAACATCTAACCACATAACTATTCAACACGTTACACCGGAAAACCCAAAACACGTTGCACCCACATCCTGAACCAAACTAACACACGACACACGCGCCTGATACCGCGCTGGGCTCGGCGGCGTGCGGTACCTCGGCGCAACGCAAGGACTCCGACGTAGCAACGCAAGGACTCCGACGCGTGTCAATTACTCATATTGTAGAGGTTCGGAGCAAACCCACACAAAATGCAGTATTTGATGCCTTGTAGCAGGGACTCTGTCTGCTGGTCCGGGAAAAGCTCGGTGAAGGAGCCCTTTTTGGGGATCCCGGGTGGATCAAACCCAGCTGTTCACGGGGTGAATTCCAATGAATTGCCACCTGAGCTGCAACGGGTAATCTTCGCAATCCTCTCAACAATCGCTTGCTCAAAACGCCACTGACAAAGGTACTAATAACAACTGGAGCAAACATCACAAGAGATCCATGTCATCCATGGTACTGGTGAATGAACCTGGAACCAAAATGAAACCAGGGAGATTCATCTGTGTTCAACCAGACTGGCCAACCGCATGGTTTTGGGGAACCCTTTCTGTGAAACTTCTTTGTCACCAAAATTCGAGTGACAGAAAGTCGCAACCTGAAACCAACCATCGTCCACAACATGTTTTACAAACAAAACATGCGGCTTGCCTTTTGGTTTCCCTTTGTAAGCCAACCCAAACGGATACCCCCGCAAATGCCCCGCGCCTCAAGCGAGGGCGCTTCCAGGCGAGAAGTGGACAGCACCGGCGAGGTCGGCATCTCTGTGGGCACCTCGGCGGACATCGAAGTCTGGCGCTTGAGCGATTTCCGCATAGGGACGCTTAAGGCTAACCTGGGCTGTCCAAACTGATCCCTGCTACTCTGACTTGTGTTTTTTAGTGAAAACTATCGCTAAACCAACTAAAATCCCAACCTAAGGAACTGGATGGCTGGGAACCACCAAATCAAGTGGTCTCGTTGAACGTAGTCCACGAACTTGGAATTCGAGTTTGGTGATCGGTCTGAAGGTTCAATCACCTTCCCTCCGCCCTCACAGGCAAATTGTTCCCTCCATGCCATGTAATCATTTGAGGGGGGTTGGTTCTGTCGTGGAAAACTGTGTGAATAACATAGCAAATCTGCGCATACATGGGTATGTCTACCTGGCTTACGTGTGTCTACAAGTATGCCATATATCTATGTACATATACATATTGTACATGTATAACGCACGTCTAGTTTTTATCCATGGAAGCCCTGCCGGCCACGGCAAAAACACACATCCCAGAAAGGCCCAAAAGTAAGAAGTCTTAGGCCCTTGGCCGTCTGCGGTGTTTGGGGGAACCCCGAAAAGCCTTGCTATGGATATCTCTTGAGGAGAGGTCTCTAAGAGCTCGGGGTGTGAATTCAAAGGTCTTCCACCAAAGTTTGCGGAGGTGCAAGAGCAACATGTACACCAAACAGGGACCCCCATTCGCCAAATGCCCGCGAGTCTTGTCAGCGTGAAAACGAGGAAAGTAGGGTGGCCTCTGTCAAACCTGCTTCAACTTCAAAAACCATCACAGCCACCAGGAAAGCTCACACACCATCAATCGAACCATCAAAGTGGCCACCCCACCAAACAAAACACACCACCACACCCAAGCCCCCCATCCGCCCATCCCTTTCACATCTGGGCTCTTTTGAGGTCTAGAGTGACATCCTGTGGATCCGCGTCTATGATCGTATTGAACCTCGAAGATTCGAAGGTTTGACCCACCAAGTCTTGAGAAACATGTAACCACGTTAGATTCAAGAGACCCACGAACCCTCCAGCCTCCAGCCTCTATCCCTGCCCCCGGCCCCCGGCCCCGCCCCACCACCCATGGTTGTGGAAAATAAGCCTATGATACCAAAGAGGGCTATGACAACTTTCTCCCTCCAAAGAGGGTTCCTTTCACAGACAGTGGCAGCCTCAAACCAAGCATTTTCCTCAGGCCATACTTTTTTGCTGGCATCCAATCCCTTTCCTTTTGGTTTCCCTGTAAACACCCAGCTGAAACCACCCCCTCCCGTTCCCTCAAACCTCCTTCAACCCTCAACCCCCCACCCCCTGAGCTTTCCGCCGGCATCTCCGAGGGCGAGGGCGCCAGCGCTGAGGAGCCCAACGCAGAAGAGCCCAGCGCAGCTGGCGGAAGCTTTTAAGCTGTCGGCTTTCGAGCAGAAAACGGGGCAGGGGGGTGCCCTTTGGTCCAAGCTTCCTACACCCTGGGCTATGGGAATCACCCTCAAGCCTATGTCCAGATAACACCTTATGTGGGTTTGCTGGTTGAGTTTGGCTATAATCTCCCTGGAGTGTAATCCCAGGGCGTGAAACCGGTCACTTGGTTTTAATTTGATAAGTGCACAATGACAAAATCATACATGCTAGGTTAGAAGCTATAACCAAGGCTATAACTAGGGTGGCTGTGGTTGGTGCCCGAACCTTCCATGGCAATAACCAACCAAGTTGAACACCCCAAGCTGTCTTTAACATGGCAATGATGGTGTGAAAATTAGAGGGGCATGCAAAAGGTGATGCGTTTGGAGACTGTGTTTCCGTCTTCCTGTGCTTCCATGTTACTCTTTCTGCTCGACATGAAGCGCGCCAGTTGGCTGAAGGTGAATGGCACCATTCCCCCATTTGGGCTTAATCATCCCCCTTACCCCCAGATTGAGGGAATTGTGCCATTGATCTACTTTCACCTGTAACGGAAGGAACCCAACCGTTTTGGGGATTGGACGCTCCCAGTCATTCTGGGGGTTCCATGTCAACTCACAAGGGCGTCAACGGGATTCAAGTCGTAACTCACATCTAAGTTTGTGAAGTAGGAAAACGAGTTCGAACAACGACTCTCAGCCAGTATGGTTAAACCCATCACCTGCTTCACAATGCTTCAGCATGTGTCATCATTTTTGAAGTCGTGGACACCCCGGATAGATCCCCTTAGGCCGGCCCTGAGTCCAGCAAAGGCCGCCCTGCATGCGGTTTGCGTCGGGATCCTCAGTTTTCTGGGGGACGAGGGGTTTGGGGGCGGAAATTGAACAGGCGGACGTAGCTGAAGAACCCGCCTGATCTGACGGGAAGCGGCAACTCCTTGGTTGTCGATGGCAAATGCCACGAGATGGAACCAGGAAACCAGTTTACACTTCCCGGACATGCATGGGTGTTTCTGAAAAACATCTGACTGCTCAAAAGGCGATAGTTTTGACTTACCCTTAGGTTGCTGGTGCTCAGTAGGGAATGACCCAGGGTTTTGGGAATGAACCTTTCGGTTCTACTGACATGGATATAAAGGTTTGTAGATATATATATATATACATATCGGACCTACTATAAGCCCCACAGTAGAACCACCTACTAAAATGGCCGATGGGGGTTTTGGGCGCTGCTCAATTGGGAGCGAGGCTGAAGCCAAAGGAATTTACGCGGACACATACCTGGACATCCATAGTTGGATACGGTTGAAGTTACTTGCCTTTCGGATGGGGAAAAGGCTTGGCTCTGGAATGACCTCAAAGTTGGGAATGCAGGGTGGCCTGGTGAGTGGTTTTGACTCATGTCACCTTTACATTTGACATGAGAGTCAATATCGACCTTTGTGTGCATGATGCTGGGAAATCGAGTCGGGCGGATGACATATTTGCCCGGCACAGTTGCTCCGTCAGTACATGTTTGTGGTAACTCAAGCCGCGATGAAATCCCTGGGTGAGGTCTTAGCACAGGATTGGGCCAACAAAACCTTAATGATTAAGGCCTTACTGCGGCCTTACTAAGGCCTCATGGGCATAAACAAAAGGGGGCTTCGACATGGCCATTTGGAAAAAAGGATGTGCTGTCACACTATAACTTCGACCCTGGAAAAGTAAACATTCTCCTGGTGAGCAGAGTCTAAAGCAGTCCCGTGACCCCTCCCCCAGATTTAGAAAGACTCTTGCGGTTTCTTGCCAAACAAAACGGTTGTGGCCAAGACATGAACCAGGGCCCCCGCGCCTTAGCGAGTCTTGCCTTCAAGCCTTCGAAAATCCTGGTCTTTGTCTTTTGCTTTATACAGCTCTTGGAAGGGGTACCTCTGCGGGAGAACGGAAGGGGGATACTGCAGCGTGACATAAATCAGCTTCCCGGTGGTTTGATGTCTACGTATCACGAGAGGTTTCCCATTAACCCTCTACAAAGGCCAGGGGTTCAAATCCGAACCCAAACCACCAATCCACCCCACCAATCCAAACTACCAATCCAAACCACCAACTGAGGGTTACCTGAATAAAAGCTGGTCAAAAGAAAACCATCTTTTGGGGCAATGACTGACCAAGACAGCGCGCTGAGGCGTGGGCTGTGGCCGTTGGGACGCCTGGAGCCCAAACCAAAAGCACGGCCAGCAGCTCTTCTGGAGTGCATTGTGGTTGTTTCTTGTACTGGGTTTCTGTGGGTTTTTGTTTCTGGCGCTACTTGGTTTAGTCCTTAGGGTCACGGTTGCTCAACCTAACCTTTGGGAGGTGTCAAGGCGTTCCGCTCCAAACTTTTCCCAACGACCAGTTGCCATGAGGAAAAGTGTTTGCTGTGGGTCATGTCCAAAGCAAACTCCCGGTGAACGAAGAATCAAGAGGAATGGCCGGTTCTGGTTGCCCGGCTCTGACCTCTTCTCGGACATTGTAGTTTATCATACAAACTGCGGGGAGGGCCGTTGAGAAGTCAATATATCCATCCACTTGAGGTTTGCTTTTTGAGCTAGTGAATCAAACAAAGAATTGGTTTATCTGCAAACAAACAGCCTTTGGAACCTAGGTATCCTTTCAAAACAATAGATGGCATCTCTGCTGTCTGTAAATAAAGTCAAACTGAAACCAGTGGAATCAATCGCTTTTAATTTTCAGACTGAGGCCAGAAACAACACCCACGCTCCATGCCCAAACACCTTCTGCCCGGCCTGACAGCAACGTGCCCGCTTCCGCATCAGCTGTTGGCACCTGCTTGGAATATCCCAACAGGCTGCCTGGGGTTGGCTGCCGGAACAACCCATGGTTTAAACACGGCGATGAGCCCCTATTGCGCGTCATCAATCAAGCGGACATAGGGGAGCCCCATATTATAAAAGGAGCCTTCGTGGCGAACGCTAACCTGCCACGATATTACGAAAACGTAGTTGACAGGCTTCCCTCGCAACAACCAGTTGTCAAGCCAATGCTGACTTACAACCACATGACCTAAGCATAACATGTTGAGAGGCCATAATTAAACCAAATGGTCGAACCTGGCTGCACCGAAATGCGACGCGTATTGAATACGCTATGCCGTCAGGCTCCCCAATACGTTTGGGCCCTCAACGTGTGTTGCTTTCAAGGGCGCTTGACGGGTCCGGATCTTTTCTCGACTTGTATCCAAGGGTCATGAGCCTCAGGATAAGGAGATGACAGGCCGAGTTGCTTTCGCATGATGTCAAACATTGACGGGCCTTTTGACCGTGGCACAGATTTGCGCCTTTTTGGTTGGTTGATGAAAGTAAAGGAAAAGACAAGCGAAGACACGGCCGCTTTCATCGGCAGGAATGAGGTTCTACTGCGGTCCCCCAGCCACAAGGGAACATGGGCTGCCGCCACATGGACATGGAATTCCAAAGGTCACCCCCCTCCCCCGACTCCACCATTGAGCGGGTATCTTTCAGTGGCTGGTCATGCGAAAAACCAAACTGCTGGAGGTCTCATGATTTTGGCCATGTCACAGGGCCTCCGTTGAGATTTGCAACTTTCGGTATTTGCCTGGTCCAAAAACAGTCACGCGACCATCAGACTTATGCATCCCATGAAGGTGCACTTTGAGCAACTGCCTCCTTGGCAACCCTTCATGAGAGTAGCAAGCAGACTGCCAAGGAGGCAGAGCGATGCTTTCCCAGCGAAGGGAACAACCCGAATGGTTTTCTCCCCCGGTGAAGGAAAGCATAATGGAGGTCTAGATCTGTTCTACAGACTGGAAACTGCAAAGGGGCCAAATCCTTTGGACCCAAGTTGGAAGGATCTTGCAAATTGCGTTTGCAGGCCTCACCATGGGCTGTGTTCACGAAAAGGCCCTGCCCCATTTTGGGCGATTTCCAGCAGTACAGGCTTTCTTTCAAGACCCGGTCAGAGGGAAGAAACATAATCCGTGGAAAAGGAAAGCAAAGAACATGCCAATGTTCTACCCTCATTGGCTTGGTCGTGTTCAGACCAACCCGGTTCTACCACAAAAAACCCTTTGCAAGGAAATTGAATAACTGCTTACCAATAGAAGTTCCGGTGCCCAAGATCCGACTCAAAACTCGAGGTACCCACCTCTGGGTATCTGATCATATCAAGGATACCGGCTGGGGCATGTGGCTGCGCCCGAGGCGGGAATCGGAGCATCTAAACCCGCTCCCTGGAGAAACTATCCGCTTACTTTGTCAGAAGTCCTAACAGGAAGAGGGTGCAAGATTTACCTTATCTTCTACCTGTTGTTTGAGATGTTGCTTTAAACAACGGTAAAGCGGACTTGATCAGTGTTGAACTCTAAACAGTTGTTTTGTATATCAGAGTTCACCTCAAGACATGTTCCGTTATATATTTGTTTTAGTAGAAGGTACACATATAACAACGTGAAGATTCAAGGTTTTCGGTGCAAGGTAAGAAACCCCAAGGATTAGCCCAAGGAAAAGTCCGCCATCGTTTTATCTCAGCCGTGTTGGCCCCAGCCAACCCTTGATCTTCCAGGACCTAACCCTTGAAGTGCCACCCTGAGACAGAAGCCCGGCCTTCGGCTGCTTCCAGTTGAAAAGAGCAACATTCGGCTGGGCCGGTTGTTGCGGTCAAAACCAACGAACTTCCATTTGCTTCAGACTGCATTTGTCATTTTCCCTGGTTGGTTTTCCAGAGAATCTATCACTATTCCTTTTTTTCCGCAGGGGGCTTGAGGGGAATACTCGTTTGTGTGAGTCGAGTGAACCTCACCATGTAAGGAGCAAGTTCAATAGACATACCAGTTAGCCTCCGCCCAGCACCTGCCATCCTCTTCCTAGGTGTAGTCGGTTGGGGCAAGGCCTTGTTTCAACCAAAAACGTCCCCTAACTGGTCCAAACCCAAACACGAGTAGACCCTTCCTCTTTGCGGGAGGATTGGGGGGGGGGTGGAAGATGAACGTTTTCTTGAAGGGGCCCCTTGTTAGGTGTCAATGTTTGAGGGAGGAAAACTCAGGCAATTCAATCTAGGCTAATTGTTGGTAACGATGGTTTAGGTGGCTTGTACTGAGTTGCCCAAAGAACACACTCATACAACATTGACCTTTTGGGGCCCTGATTCAAGATCGACCAGAAAAGGGAACTCAACAGGTCAAAAGGTCGGCTTGGGCAAGTAGCTCGTGCACATGGCGACAACCCAAGCCGAGCCCCAGCTCCCTGCGCACGACGCTTGCGGCCGCGCCTCCATGGTGGCATCCACTGGTGAGGTAGGCAGCTCTGTGGGCACCTCTGAGGGACATTCAGTCAAAGCCATGGAGGTGACACGTGGGAGCCCGAGCTTTGAGGGAGCTTCGAGATTTGCCCAAGACCAAACTGGGTCGATCCAAGACCCATCACATGTTGCTGTGGCGGGAAATGTTTAAATGTTCCGCATGTTCCACAAAAGTCAAAAGATTGTTTCGGACCAAGCAAAAAGCAATCATGCTGAGCATTCTCAAATGGTAGGCCATCTGCTAAATCGGGCTCTGGTCAAACAACAAAAACACATTCTGCAAAATGTCGAAGAAAAACAAAAAGAAAACAACAAACTGAAATCAGCGATCCCCAAGAAAAGGACCAACATTGTGGTAAGCTCGTTCTACGCCCAGGTGAGCTTGCCATAAAATATGCAGAAAAGGTCCCTGCCTTCTTTTCATCCCCTTTCGAATTTCCGAAGGAAACACAAACAATTATGCGCTTGTGGTCAATCACCCAACAAAGCTCAACTTGAGTTTTGTAGGCGCCAGTGAGCTGCTATGGGCTCCTGGCCCGACTCCCATTTTCAGGCGTGCTGTTGGTTTTTGACTTTTCGGGGTGGAGCATATTGGGCAATATACTCCAAGGATCCCATCCACAGGACTACTTTATTCGCTCCAACAAGTATCACAGAAAGTGCCAACCCACCACCCAAGGTCCCTCAGCCAAGTTGCAACTTTGCCACTGAATGTTGGCTCGTTAGCGGGGTCTTTCCTCCACGAATTGGGACAACCCCCCATCGATGAACAAGGTCCATGCTTCAGGTGTTCACACCTCCGCCAGATGCCCAACAACCCCGGCAAAGAGCTCGAGCCCTTTCCGGGATTCACCCCCTTTTTTTGGGTGGAAAACTCACCAAACCAAAAGAGAAAACATAGCACCCCTGAACAACTGGGGCCCATCCCTTCCCTTCCTTTCCCCACATCTTCCCCTCTCCTGCTACCCCTTTAGACCGCATGCCTCGTTTTGGCAGAAAAAGTCCGGGCCACCCCGCCGGCATCTCTGACGGGGACTCCACAGAGGACGCCAGTGAGGAACCGAAGGCCGAGTAAACTGGCGGGGTCGAAGGGACCGGACCTGCTTCCGGGGCCTCCCCCGAAACGGGAAGGGCTTTCTATGGTTCTATCACTTGGAGTGCGCGAAACGTGAAGCAGAATCGGAACATAGAAACCTAGAAACATATTTCTCGCACTCATGCAGTAGGTAGTTTACGAACCATGGGATCTACGCACTTACGATTTGGAGTCATCATTGGAGGAACCTCCTTTGGGGACTTCCTTTTGGGTTCCATGTGAATTTGCACGGGAGTAAAGATGTTTTTCTGGAACAACAAGTTTCAGCTTTGCTTTCAAAGCAAGGATCAGTCAGCGAATAAGGAGCAACTCCCTGCTGAACCAAGGTGCAAGCATGGGGGTCATCCAGATTCCAAAGTGCGCATGCAGTGTCCAAGGGAGCTCCTCGTAAAACCAACCCGTGCGGGGAGAGAGGGGGCATTTCAACGGAATGCTCTACCGGGCCAACCATTTTGTCAAACCGGGAGAAAATGGGAGGTGTCAACATGTACGTGGGGTGTGTACGAGATACATATTTGGGGCACGTACAGTTGGGGACGTCGTCAATTACTGTCCATGGATTGTCTTCGCCAACGACGCTCTTGGTTGGCTTCTATGAGATAGGGGACAGGACTGTCCAAAAAATCGCAAGGCCATGTTCGAAAAATCTATCCAGTGTTCCAATCTTAGCAGAAACATGACGGGAAGTGTAAGGGGCGATTGAATCATTATACGGGGATTCCTGCCAATTCACATCGGTTTTGGGTCGCCGTGTGCTTGCTGTGTTGAAGGAATGCGACTTGATCAAGCTGAAAAGTGTGCCACTGCCCTCAAATCAGAGAGGCAGCTAAGACACTTCTATTGGCTCGAGTAAACATTCAGCAAGCGAACCAACCCACAACCCCGGGAAAAAACGATCAACTACAAGGATTGCCCCGTTGATCCGTTGCACTTTTATTGGCATCCGTACCACTTCCTGAGTGGATTGGCTGGAGAAAGTCCGAAGCGTACATTTACCGCGAAACTCACACCCCCAACCATCTTCTTCGAATCACCTCAGTGGCTTGCTCAAGGCGCTGACAAAGACCACCAGTCGTGGGGTCACCATTCTTATCCCAGAAAGTCTCCAGGAACTGACGCAGCAGCGCTTGCGCCTGCCGACCTGCCCGGCACTGGCACCTCCTGCGCATTCGAACAGCAGAGTCAACATCACAACTCCCTGTAAAGTCCACTAAAAAAGCTTGGGACTATGCCTTAGTTCATCTTGCTTGGGCTTTTTTCTTGCCCATTTTTGTTGCTTGGGTTTTCCCTTGCCTTCATCTCTCTTGGGTATTCCCTTACCTTCATCTCTTTCTTCGGGTTTTCAGCACATGCCCCGCATGGGAACAGAGTTGGGGCCGCCCCTCGAAACGAACCACTTTCTCACCGCCGGGACCTGGAAGAAAGCCAAGGCCGGACCTGGGACCTAGACATGGCGGACCTAGGGACCTGTGCATGGACGAAATTCTGCACCTAAGTCCTAGAATGATTCGATCCCCCTGTCGAGTACCAATCAAAAAATGGCTCATGGCTTCCAATTGGTGCAGGATCTCGTCCATCCACTGTAGCAGACCCGGAAGTTGAAAGGCCGACTTTGGACAACTGAGCTCAGTGCAGACGCGTAAGGAACATACATCAACACATGCGGTTGGAGTGCCCCTTCTCATAGATTTCTCAGTGGCCTGCATTCATGCATATGGTAAGGCATACCCAAGTCTTGGCTGCTCCCTCCTCCTCGCCCCCGCACAAAAAAAAAGCATAGAATTACAGTGTCCTGACTAGACACCCTTGGAATGATTGTCAATCCCTATCAAGGGGATGATGACCATAACAACCCCAAGTGATAGGGTGCTGACGGGGGAGAAGGCTTTGCAATGAAAGTCAAGGCTTTGCCAGCGGATCCTTGACTTGTCTTGGCTTATCTTTGGAGTATGCATCACATCCACAACTCCCCCCCTTGAAGGTCCATGAATCGATTGCATAGGGACCCTTTAATTTTAGAGTTCGAGGGAGGGTCGTGTTAAAGGAAAGCAACAAGAGGGTGGTTTCCCTTGTTTGAGACAGACCCACTTGCATTTAGGGAACAAAGGGCACCTCTGATAGTTGGCAACTTGAGCAGCAGACTATCTTGCATACTATATATATATATACACCTATATATATATATATATATGTATGCGCACATGTACGTATGCAAAGCAATGCAATGAAATGCAATGCAATGTAGCGTAATGTAATGTAATGTAATGTAATGCAATGTAATGCAATGTACTGCAATGTGCTGACGTGCGCGTGCAATGTAATGTATGTTTACATTATATACACAATCAAATTCATCAAATTGCGGAAGCGAACCGCACCCAACAATTTGTATTGTGGCCCTTTCTGGAAGTGCTACGTGGTCATATGATATGACGTCCTGCTTGCCTTGGGTGGACTCCAGGCCCTCTTTTACCTTGGGGCGGGCGAAGTAGCTCACGAGCCCTTCTTTCCCTCTACGACTTGGGCTCTACGGAAATCCACTTGAGGGGTGGTTCCTAACATGGGGTCTCGGCAGGTTGTCCTTGCTTCCAATTGAATCGAAGCTCAGATGCCCAGTGGATTTCCATGGGAAAAAAAGGGCACTCTTCTTTAATTGGTTGGTTTAAAGGGGGACCTTCCCCAAAAAAAGGAAAAAGGAAGCAACCCACTGGGCAACTGAGGAAACCAGCCCACAAGCCCTGCACGTCGACACCCCCGGCATCCTGCGGGGATGGGACATCTGTGGGCACCTCGGGCAGCGCTGGAGGAAAAAGCAAGGGCAATCCCGCCTTCCCCGAGCGAGGTGCGATAGCAGAAAGAGAGAGAGCGAGAGAGAGAGAAACAGAAAGAGAGAAACAAGTACAAGAAAGAAATAAAGAGAGAAGAAGAGAAGAGAAGAGAAGAGAAGAGAAGAGAAGAGAAGAGAAGAGAAGAGAAGAGAAGAGAAGAGAACAGAAGAGAATAGAAGGGAAGAGAGAATAGAAGAGAAGACAAAGGAAGAAGAGAAAGAACAAACAGAAAGAAAGAGGAGGAATGCAAAAAGAAAGGAACAGGAAAAGCAAAAGACAAATATACAAACAACGATAAACGTAACTATATAGAGACAAATAAAGAGAACATAAACAAACAAGACATGTGTATATTATATAATTATATATAAATACGTATATGCATAAGATAGAAAATGCGGAAATGAAAACGAAGAAGAAGAGACAAATAAGTTGAGAACAGAAAGAGAAGCACCAAGAAACAAAACATGGATAGAATCAGAGAGAGAAAGAGAGGGAGAGAGAGAGAGGCAGAGAGAGAGAGAGAGACACAGAGAGAAAAAATATTTCATAGCCGCAGACAGCACCAATTGATAAGCCGTTGATGCGAACGCCTGTCAGGAGCCTTCATCATGGTCACAAACCAGATGCTTTGCTAGCTCAATAACAAAGGGAACCAAAGGGACGTGAACATGGAAACCAATTTTGGAGGCACGCCCATAAAAACCCAGGATCACACGCGCGTGTGACCAAGTTCCGTGTTTCCTTAAGACGACTTGAGAAAAGTGTTTGGTTGCTCTGGTCTTTGTGCGAAACGTGGGTTGTCCCCACTCTCGTCCTCCCCAAACCAACGATGGACCAATGATGTTGTCAGTGACCCCAACATTGGTTTGTCTCTCAAACTAGGGGAGCCCAAACAACGGTTCCTTGTGCTTCCCTACAATTCACCCCAAGGGTATCAAAAAGACACGCCCAAATCCCAAATGAGGAATCCCCAAAGCCGAGAATCCGATTCCAAAATGGCGAAACCCCCAAATCCGTGGCTCCTTGGTCAACCCAAGTGGCCCAGAGGGCCACTCTCAGCTCTCGGCTGGCGGCAGGGAGGGCGAGTATGAGACCGCAGAGTCGGGAAGGCCTCGCCCCATGAGCTTGGATCGAACGCCCCGTGAAATCGACCCACTCTAGGGGTTGATTCCTTGGACCCATTCGGTCGTGAATTCGGGGTGAATTCGGTCGTGTGAGGTCGGGTCTTGAGCCAATGGATCTAGGGGTTGATTCCTTGGACCCATTCTTTTCAGCCGTCGCCCTTTTCTCTTTCCCCGATCGCATTTTTGTTCGGGGTTTCTGGCGTTTTCTAGAAAGAAGGATGCCTGGAAAGAATGGGGAAGATACCCCTAGAACAACTGGGTGGGGCCATGGCAAGCGACCACTGCAAAGCAACCAAGGCCACCACGCCCTCTTGACCAAAGGGAGCCGCTCAACTGCAAGCGAAACTAAGACGAACAACCATCAACAAGAGCAAACATACAACAGCGAACAAAGAACACATAAGAATATCACACAGAAAGTTCTGTATTCAACAAATGCGCTGAGAACACAGCCACACAAAAAAATGAGAGGGAGAAAACACACAGCCCGAACTGGGGCGCTGGGATGCACTCCTGCCTGATGCGCTGTGCTGGCCGGTGCCGTGCGGCACCTCAGAAGCCCCGAAGCTCCGAGCCAGCCGGCCATCTGAAGCCCGTTTTTTGAGGACCCCCAAAGAATGATGAGTGTCCTTGTGGTTTCCCTTAGAAAAGACACATGTGCCTAAACGGACGATATCAGCCATGTTGCTGATTGCCTACTAAGTTGGTTGAACATCCAAGGTGAAACAACCAAACTAGGGGTCCATAGCAGGAGGGGAGAAAAGGGACACCCTCTCGCGTGTGTTGAAGGTGCCCTTTTCACCTTTGGAAGGTAACCAAAAAAAACACACTGCTGTTTTGGGGGTGCGCTATTCTGACGCCTGGGTGTCCCTGAATGATACACTATGTCTGCTTGGGCCACTGGAATCCGGAAACATGCCCTGTAAAGGAACTTTCATTGTGGGGCATCAGGGCCCCGCTTTTGGCTCGCAAAAATCCCGTGGTGAGGTCGGCAAAATCTGAACGAGGGTTCAGTTGCTTGCAGCGCTTTGGGGAAATAGAGGGAATCCCCCAAAAAGGGGGGGGGCAATTTTGACAGTCTGTGTTTTGCCCCAAAGGGTCTGTAGGGTATCATTGAAACATAAAGCATGAATCAATCAGTCATGTCCGTTGTATTTGTTGGCTGAATTCGCTCACAAAGGGAGTCTTGCATATCTGCAAGATGCTGTTCGAACACAAAGCAATAAGTAACGGTGACAATGACAAATTGAGAGAATGCAATCACCTCAAGAACCGGTTCGCCACTGGCAAAACTAGCAGTCAAACATATTTCCCTTTTACACCAACCCACAACAGAACAGATCCATATGCCATATGTGTATTTTCGGAAAACGGATGGCACAGGTAAATCACCAAACTGAGGCCAATAGGATCACCTCACCAAACAGGACACCGACTAGAGCTTCGCACAAAATCGGGATGGATGAACCCGTCTAAAAACTGGGATAAACCACCCTACCGACTGGCGCGAAGTTGGGTTAATACATCGCCAGTACATCACAGCGCTTCCAGTTACCATTGTAGTAGGTTACCAGGGAGAGCCATCAATTGAAAACTTGAGGCAAAATCCATTACCTGCAAGTAAAGAAAACTCGGAGCCTCGGTGCGAGCCAAGATCTGTGCATTTGCCTGACCTTAACAATATTTGAAGCAAATGTGCATAATGTTGACCCCGCATTGATAAACCCGTCCTATTTTGTTGGGGAGTGTTCTTCTCAAGTGATGAATCCCCCCTAAGGAGACACGCCCATCTCTCGAAACTGAGCAGTTGAAAAAAGTCCGGGAATGTCTCTCTTGGGTGAGTCAAACGAATTCAACAGGCACCAAGCCCAGCAACCACCACGCAGACACAACCATTTTCATCTGGGTCTGGGTCCGTCTTTCGTTGAGATTTATCCTTTTTTGGTGGTTTTAACGGGAAACCCAAAGGAACACCATCTTGGGGGTACCCTAAAACCAAGACGCGCCCGGAACCGCGCCTCAAGCGAGGGCGCTTCCAGGCGAGAGGTGGACAGCACAGGCGAGGTGGGCATCTCGGTGGGCACCTTGGCTCCCGTCCCGCCGCGCGCCACTTCGAAGCGTCGTGCAGGAGTTGGGTGGCTATAAATCAAAATAGGACGTGGAACCCCGAAAATGGGTGGACTATGGAGGCATATAAACCCATGTGTTGGAACAGGAATACTCAAAAATGCACCACTGCGCGCGCTGGCACGATTCATGCTGCCCACTGGCGTTGGTTCTGTCAACAAAACAATAGCCCGCGTACTTCATACCACGAGCTAGCTACTGTGTATGATGTCTACATATATATATATATATATACAACAGTTGTACATAGCGCCTATCATCTCTTTTGCCCCTTTGTTCTCCTTGACTTCGCCAAAGCGTGAGCCGCATCTTAACGCAAGGGAAGCCGGGGAAACCAACAGCCCTCGGGTCCCAGGAAGAGGCCCCGCCTGCGGAGCCTTACCAAGCCGGGCGCACGGTCTTTTGAGGGAGCCGTTTTGGGGTAACTTAAAGAAGAACCCAAAGGAACGTGCCCATTTTTGGGGGTCCCCAAGTGGATCTCTTGAGTCTTGGGGAGCTTGGGTTATTCATTCAAAAGGCCTTCCCACGAACAGTGGAATTCAGAGATGCGAGAACTGCATCGCTAAACAAGGGGTGGACAAAAAGCCTGAGGGATTTGTCAGCCTGAAGGAAACTAGGCTGGCCCAACCCCCTGCCAAACATGTGTCTGCGCCAAATTCCTTTGTTCACATCAAGAAAGCTACCAAAGCATCATCATCACTCATTAAGGTCCAAAGTCACATCCTGAAAATCGCTCTGAAATTGGTGGTTTAGAGGCAGACCATCCCTCAAAGACAATTTTGGAAGAAGACGTTTCATACCTCAAAGGTTGATTTGATAGACCCAAAAGTTTTGAGAAACCCTTTCAACATGTAACCACATAGGAAGCACCCCCCCACCTTCCACTCACCGCCCATCCCGGCCCCCGCACACCAACCACCCCCTGTCAGGCTTTTGTACAACCACCTCTTTGAGCTTGCAACATAGACTCGGTGTTCATGGAACACCCCCCGCACTTGGGTCTTCAAGCTAGCAAGTAGGTCACGACCATGGTTACAAAGAGACTAAACCCAGCTGCTCCAGTCACAACCGCAGTTGTAACCCTGGTTGAAGGAAAAAGCTCCTTCCCCAAGAAGGGGCCAGGGGCCCCCGCCGGCATCTCTGTAGGGGAGACCAGCGCTGATGACCCCAATGCAGAGGAGCCCAGCGCAGCTGGCAGGGAGCGGAAAACGGGACGTGGCGGTTTTTGGAAATGGACTTGATACAATTTGTGGAGGTTCCCGTTGATGTTCAAAGGCATAAACAGAAGTCATGTCTGTTCCTGAGATCTCATGAATCGCCCAACAAAGTATATATAGCATCCAAGTTCGGGCTAGAAAGCAAGAATGTGTTCGAACCACGAGTCGAAGCAAGTATCGGAGTTCGTGCCTACAACCACCGCATGTTTCACCATGCTTAAACATGTGTCACCACGTTTGAAAAAGGCTGGCTCAGTCGGCTTGTGCGGGCCAACGGAGGTCTTGCTAAGGCCATACACCGTCACTTTTTGCAGGTCGGCACAAACTTCACCCTTGGGTTGGTTCCCACACAAAAGCAACAATTCAAACGTGGAATGTGTCCGACGACAGTAGAGATCATTTGATCGTGTTTCAACAACCTCTTCTTGATGTGCTTCAATTGGGGGCGCTGTCTGCTTAATACAATATTGCTTTCTTTTGCCACGGGGGCAATAAAAATGCATGGGCCTCTATCGGGCTTCCCTTGACCAAATCCCAAAATAGAGACGGATCCCCTACGTATTTCAAGACCAAGTCCAAACCGTCAAAGAGCTGCATATCAAGAACCGGGTGTAGCCAAATGGGTCTTGTGTATAAGGAGGAGGTAAGGACAACCGCCAATACTGGGGTTGTCCTACTTTGACACACACCGACACACCCTGGTAGTTCCGCTTGATCTTAATTAATTTGGTCTGTTCTGTTGACTTTTCCTCGGCAAGCATGGCCAACAGGAACGCCCTGGGCTCTACCAAACTCATCGCTTGTTTGGACGAATTGACATGGAAATCAAAAGGAAGCGGATTGTCCGAACTCCGCCTGATCTGACAGGCAGCGACATCTCCTTGGTAATCGATGCATGCACGAAGCGATCGAACCAAGAAACCAGCGATGGGGAGAACCTATTAGTTAAATGGTTCGGAACCATGCTTATACACAACTTACTATGGTCCTCCAAGTGGTTCATAACCAGGGTTCCAATCCATTTAGCTAAGACCCGACCCATCTATTTAGGCCCCAAACCGGAACTTGCAGGTTTTTGAAAGTGGGGGACGCTCAAAGGGAAACCAAACATCCTGTATTCTTCGGGGACCCCTCAGTAGCCAGCTTATAATCAGGTTGCCTTTGAACTGAAATACAGCCGGCGGTAACAGTTCCGCAACCCTCGCCCGGATTCTGGGGCCTATCTGTGGGCCCCAAAGCTTTTGACTGAAGAAAGTGCATGGCGCATCACGCAAACACCAAGAGATCTGACCATCATGAGGAACCGCTGACCCCATCTGACGGGTGGGGGACAAAAAAGGCAGGCCGCACTTAACCTATTGGGGACAGTGGGACCAAACCATACAAACTGCAGGTCGAATGGTTCGCCTTTGGAAAGCGGGCCCGAAGATGTTGCTCACACTAAGGCCTGGGCTGTGGCCGTTGGGACGCCTGGAGCCCAAACCAAAAGCCGCCCGACATCACACACCGACCAAAATATGTGCTTGTTCTCGAGTGTTTTGGTTTTGGGTTGTTTTGAGACCGGTTCCTTCGTAAAATTGGCTGTGTTGCCGCTTTCGTGCTTTGTTGTCTTTCTTAGCGTCTTGCCTTTTGGCAGGTGTTAAGGCCTTTCCCCCGAGACTTCTCCCAACAAAGAGTTGCCATGAGGACACGTTTTGCTGCAAGCGATGCTCAATTGAAACCCCTTGACAAGGGCGAGGAATGTCCAGCTCTGGTTGCCCAGCTCTGACCTCTTCTGGACGTTCTAGCTTACCTGTTGAGAAACGACAAGTCTGCTTCCTAATTAACTACCTACCAACCGAATAGCTACCTCTGACTTGTCTGTCTATCCATTGGGCTGGGGTCAAACATCATAGGGGACACATTAGCGAACCATAGAAGCTCAAAATCAGGCCATGAAGAGTGGCTTTCTGATAAAGGGCTGACGCTATGATTTTGGCAGGATCAAAGTCAGCCCCTGTTTGGTGGTAGGTGAACTGCCTGACTCTTATTGCCGTAGAACGTTAGCACGGAAATCAGCCAGAAACCAACTTATCTGGCAAGCAGCCTCCGTGCCCTTTCGAAGCAATAGATGGATTCCTGCTGTCCTTGTTTAAAACCAAACTTGAAGCAGTAGAATCCATCGGTTTCTCTGCTAGCTGAAAGCTTCAGGGGTTCTAACTTCAATTGAAGAAGGAGTGGGTGAGACTCAGAATTGCGCCATCATCTGAGTGGCGGCGCGTTAAGCAAATCCACCAAGGCTCTGGCAAGCGAGTGCCAATGTTGCAGCATCATGTGCAAATGTTGCAAGCGAATCGGAGCATTTTGTTGAGAGAATTACTTCGGCCGTTCTGCCCGGCATGTTAAGCAAATCCACCAACACATCAGCCCTGGGAGGTGAAGCGTTAAGCAAACCCACCAAAACTCCGGCAAGATGCAATATTGTCTATGCGGTTTTGCCGCGAACCGCCGGAGCACGCCGTTGTAAGAATTATGTTGGCCGCGCTGTCGGGCGTGGCATGTGTGTTGCCGTGTTGGAACGGGCATCTTTAGTCGTTGGCTGGCAACATTTTTGTTCTCCGGGTCTTTGTTGGCACAATGCACTTGGAAACTGAAGCCAGAAAAACGCCTACAATTCAAACCCAAACACTTCTGCCCGGCCTGACAGCAATGTGCCCGCTTCTGCATCCACTGTTGGCACCTGCAACGTTGCGGCTGGAAGGTCCGTCAATCAGGCTGCCTGTTAGGGTTGGTTGAGCCACCCATGGTTTAAGCAGAAGTGCAAAAACTAACCCCGTTGATCCATGTTCTACCCTCGTGGCTTGGTCATTGTCTAGAGACAGAGCAATGAATGCTGCGAACCAAAGAAACTCAAGCGGTTCTTCGTTCTCTCGTCTCAGCCATGTTTTCCCAACAGAGCAAATCGAGGTACCCTGGGTGGGTACTTTAAGGAGCGTATCAGGCCATATCCGGGGCATTGCCTCCAGAAACATGTGGCTGCGCCCTGAGACAAAAAGAATCGGGCCATTTACAACTGCATTCTCATCCTTTTCAGAACAACAAGCATATCATGTTGTTTGTATTCCTCCTTGCGTTTGAAGTGTTGCTTTAACAACAAAACGATAAGCTTGTTGCGCACCTTCCTCCAACCAACATAGCATGTGTGGGGCTGCAAGTGAAAGTTGAAGGACCATGTTTCTGGGAGGAGGGTAAAGTCATGTAGAGTCCATGTCCATAAACTACGGGGTAGTAACACGGATGATGAAGCATTCAGGAACTTGTGACCTTAGTACTAAAAGACCACCCCGAGCCAGCCGTGAGCGGCGCCGGCAGTTTCGCGCCTCCACGGTGGCATCCACCGGTGAGGTGGGCAGCTCTGTGGGCACCTCGCAGAGAGGAGTTGGCCGTCTGCCCAACCAGACGCAGACTGCGAATGATGGCTTGGTGTTTTTTTGTTTTTTTGTTTTTTCCCCGTTGCAAGATGGAACACAATTCTGTGGGGTGGCTTGACGGTTCGTTGGCTTTAAAGTGAAACTTGGGTGTCACAAACTCCTCTGAACTCTAAAGAGCTAAAAGCCTAAGGGTGTGGCTGGGAACAGGAGGGATAAGGGGATGACCAAACCTAAGGGAAATGCGTAAATGCGCCTTCGACTTTCCAACTGAAGCCCACATTGACAAAGAAAACCGCCAACAGGGCTCTATTTTAAAAAAATGGTGTGAAACATCATCCCCCCCCAGCTCCTTTCGACCCGTCGGGCCACCGCGCCGGCATCTCCGACGGAGACTCCACCGCGGAGGACGCCATCGAAGAGTAAACTGGCGGCTGCGTTGAAGGGACTGGTTTGCGTGGCTCCCTTATTACTTTGGAGGGCCCTTGGGTGGCAATGAGCAACTTATCTTACAGAATGCTACATCCTACATACAACCCACTTGAGAACCTCACCAAACGAAGCTACCAATCAACTTATGTTTCCGGGTCCTCTTTCAAGCGATGCGCTCAAAGTACTTTCGCTCACTGGGATACATATGATAAGCATGGGGACTGCACACTTCCGGCATAGACTTTCCAACAAGAACCTGCATTGCTTCCAGCCCTCAGCTCCCACCTGCGTCCCCAGTGCGAAGCTTGAGTGTCCACTCCACCCATCCAAAGCCCCAGCCCCAGACTCAACCCAGCGTCCCCATGCCTAATATTAGCCCAGACCACCCTGCGGCCAGCTTAAGCCCGAGTTCAAGTTCCTGGCAAAAACTTGGCACTGCAGCCCACCAGGCTGCTCAACCCAGCCGCCATCAATTGCTCAAGCCTGCATTACTCTTATGGTTCTTTCGATCCTGGTCGAGGCGGGCAGCGCGAATTAAAGACCCTTTGGGAACAAGGAGACTATTGAAAGCAAGAAACAGTGCACAAGCAGTGCGGACATGCGGATTGATTCAAAGTGGACAGTACCGTCTGTTGTGAAAAGGGTTGTGCATTAGTGGCAAGGGAAAGCTCTGCGTTGAACTAGCGCACATGCGGATAGGCGGGGTTTTAGCGGAATGCTCAATTGATTCCAACTAAATCGTTCGTGCAAGCGAACCAATTCATCTCAAAACCTTGGCAAACGGCGGTAGATTACACGGATTGCCAAATTCATCCCTAGTTGTAGATCTCACTTCCCGAAAAAGTTGGCCAGAAAAGTCCAACATGGTGTTTTCCACTAACATGGTCCTCCCAAACAGTTTAAACTCCGTGAACTCAGAAAGCGAGATCTTTGGCATCCACCATACCCTTTTCCTACTGAGTCGATTGGCTGCTGGAAGTTCGAGCTTTCTATCTGCCATGAAACGAACCCCCCCGCCCAAAAAACACCTCCGTGGATGAGCTCGTTTTCCCCCCCGCCCGCCCCCCCCGCCCCCCCCGCCCACCCACCCCCCCCCCCCCGTTGTTTCGTCGTTTCTCAGTAGCGAATGAGGATATGACGCCTAGGATCCCTGGTCCGCTTCCTTCCCAAACCCCCCGTTCAGTCCTCACCCCCAGACCCCCAGACCCAGCGGATTTCCCGACCAGACTCGGCCTTGGAAGTTGTGAAGTGCAGCCCCCAATAGAAAACGCGAAGCTCGCTGCTTCAAAAAGCCCAAGCTCAAGCCGCGGCGCCTGCCGACCTGCCCGGAACTGGCACCTCCTGCACGCCGAAAGCAGCGGCGGAACAATTTCGGCGGGCGCGCGCGATACGTAATGCTAACTTTAGCCATGACAATGGAAAAGCTGTATTCGCCATTCATGATTCAGCCCCTTGTATTATGATGCTGTATATGGGCCTTGCTATGACCTTTATGAGGCCAGGCAGTAGAGCCACCTATCAGAATGGCCCTTCGGGAGTGTTTGGGCGGCGCTCTTCCAAACACGATCTCTCACTGCCAGCAGAAAGCGAGCGCCTTTTGGGGCCTTGACTAGAAGTAGAAGTTAGAAGTGGTGATGGCCCTAGCAAGAAACCCGAAAGTTGAAAAGGCCGACATTGGACAACTGAGTTTTCGTTGCAACCGCAAAAGGAATATAAAGCAACATATACGGCGGGCAGTGGGAAGGATGCCTTTGCTGAAGTCATACCCAAGTCTTGGCTGCTCCCCCCCCCGGCCTGACAGACACCCTTGGAATGATTGTCAAGCCCTACAACAGGGATGATGACCATAACGACCCAAGTGATAGGGTGTTTTGACCATGACATATCTAAGTGGACTGAGAGGGCTTTGGTATGAAAGTCTCAAGGCTTTAGCGGACCCTTGGCTTGTCCTTGGCTTCTTCAGGGATAGCGGCGAGTGCATATCCCCCCACGACTCACCCCTTTGAAGGTCCATCAATCGATTGCTTAGGGACCCTTTAAAGTCTGCGGGAGGGTTGTTTGGAAGGAAAGCAACAACAAATCAAAGCGGGGTGGTTCCCCTGTTTGAGACAGACCAAGTTGCATTCAGGGAACATAAGAGCATTGTATATCCTTGCATTGCATTGCATTGCGTTGCGTTGCGTTGCATTGCGTTTGCATTGCATTGCATTGCATTATGATATGGAATTACTTGCCGTTATGTTACAATAGTGGTCATGTGTCTTTCCTGCTTGCTTTGGAGGTGGCGCAAGTCATATTAGAACTTCAGTGGACTTGGGCTCCACGAGAACCCATTAGGGGGTCCTAAAATTCGTCTAAGGCAGGTTGGACTTTTGTCTATACACTAGCCAACAAGGGGTTCCCCCATTTTAGGATTTAGGCAACACCCTTCAGTGTTCCCTTCGCGTCCACATCCCGGCATCCTGCGGGGACGGGACATCTGTGGGCACCTAGGGCAGCGCCAGAACGGTGCCGCAACTGGAGGAGAATGCAACGGCAATCCTGCCTTGCCCGAGGGAGGTGCGAAAGCAGAAACACAGAGAGAGAGAGAGAACAATACAAAGACCGAAACAAATACAAGAAAGAAAGAAAGATAGATAGAAAGAAAGAAAGAAAGACAGGAAGAAAGGAAGACAGGAAGAAAGGAAGACAGGAGAGAAGAGAAGAGAAGGAAAGAGAAGCGAAGAGAAGGGAAAGGAAGAAGAGAAATAAAGAAGAGAAAGGAAGAAGAGAAAGGAAGAAGAGAAATAAAGAAGAGAAGAGAAGAGAAAAGAAGAAAAGGAAGAAGAGAAAGACACAAGCGAAAGGAACAGGATAAATATCGAAAGTGAGGAAAAGAGAAGCAAACAAGAACTATACGGAGAACGAACAAATATTGCTATATATATACACAGATACAAAAAAAGGAAAAGAGGCATGTCAAAACGAAAGAGAAAGAAGCAAATGCAAGAATAAAAATATAAGCAGGCATGTGTGCATATATAATATAAGTGTAACACTGAAGAGGAAAAGGAATAGGAAGAGGCAAACAAATACAGACTAAAACAGAATGACACAAAAAAAGGAAAAGAGAAGCAACGAGACATAGCAAAGTAAATGGAAAGAGAGAGGGAGCGGTAAAGATAAAGAAGAGAGATAAAACATTTCATAGCCGTAAACGGGTAACCTATCGATGTGAAAGCCTGACAGGAGCTTTCATCATGGGCCGAAGGTCACAAACCAAATGCAGCTGTTAGCTCAACAAAGGGAACCAAAGAGACCAACATGAAAGCCCATTTTGGAGGCATATCAAGCGACGGGCAACGGACCAAACTGCATATTTCCTCATCCTCTTGAGAAAATAGTTTGGTCTCCCTGGTCTTTGGGTTGTCCCCGCTCTGGTCCTCCCCAAACCAACAGTGGACCAACAACGCTGTCCGCGACCCCAACATTGGTAAGTCACCCCAAAAGGGCATCGAACAACGCACACTCAAATCCCAAAGGAGGAATCCCCAAAACCCGAGATTCCGATTCCAAGATGGCAAATCCTCAACCCAAAACCATGGCTCTCGCTTCCGACAGAACCGCGCGAGCGCTGAGACCTTCCTGAGCTCTCGGCCGGCGGCATCGAGGGCGAGCGTGAGACCGCCGAGTCGGGAAGGCCTCCCAATCGGCGCATCGGATCAGATCGTGATCGGATCGGAAGCCGCGGTGAAGCGGAGAAAACTGGGGGCTGGTTCAACTTGATCATGGAAATCGCCTCAAGAAAGCTGTTTTAACCGCTAGTTTGGCTCCCCCCCCCAAATTGACTTGTGGAATCCCTCAAAAGGAAGCTTCTGGGGCTTCTAGTCCAGAGTCGGGGGGTCCCTTGACACCCATAGGACCCATGCCCTGCACCCCCCTCCGGTCAAGGGACTTCTCAATGGGTTCCCAAAGAGGAAAGCTGCAAGGTGAGGTGCCACTCAACTCCCAGCCGCTACGCCCTCTTGTTGGCCAACAGGGGCGAAGGGCGCTGCTCAAATTACATCAACAACAGCAATCATACACTGAACAAACAAAGGATAAGAAGCTGATACAGAAAGTTCTGTATTCAACACATACCAAGCTGATGAGCGAGCACCCCACAAAAAAACAGAAAAAAGAAAGAAACACATGAGGCCCGAACGGGGGGTGGGACACGCTCCTGCCTGATGCGCTGGGCTGGCCGGTGCCGCGCGGCACCTCAGCTTTCCAGAAGCTACGCCGCGAGTGGTCAGCCGGCCATCTGAAACCCGGCCACTTGAGTTCTCCAGCTAGGGGGGTCAATTTTTGGGGGCACCCCAAAAATGATGGGCTTCCTTTTGGTTTCCCCTTTAAACTCAACCAAAACGGGTTCCCTTGGAAAGATACACACCCACTTGAACGGACGATGACCGAGTTACCCCATTTTCCAACATTGTGATAACCACTCAAGTGGTTGAACATCAAAGTCACGGTGAATCTACCAAACTAGGGGTTCATACCGGCAGGATTTCTTGCTTTGTGCAGTTCTTGCTTTTTGCCAATAGGGAGATAAGGGAACCGTCCCGCATGACGATGATAAATTGGGACAATGCAATCACCTCAAGAACCGATTGGCCACTGGCAAAACTAGCAGTCAAACATATGTCCCTTTGACACCAACCCACCAACCCATAACATTACAGATCCATATGCCGTAGGTGTATTTTGGGAAAACGGATGGCACAGGAAAACCATTAGAATCTAACTGGAGCCAATAAGATCCATCTATTGTTTAACTAAGCTGACCAAAAAGGACACCTAATGTGTCTTCGCACCCAGTGGGATGGATGAACCACCACTGTAAAAACTGGGGCAATCCACCCTACCAACTTTCAAAGTAGAGCCATGATTTTAACACTTGAGGCAAAACTCATTATGACCTGCAATTCAGGAAAATGGGAGCCTTGACCTCAACAATATCTGAAGCAAGTGTGCATAATGTTGACCCCGGAGTGAGAAGCACGTCCTGTTTTGTTCGGGGGGGTGTTCCCCTCAAGTGATGAATCCGGCCTAAAAAGGGGACACCCCCATCTCTCAAAATCGAGCAGCTGAACCAAATCCGGAGAATGTAGCTCTGCGGTGAGGCATCAAAGGAAGCTCTAAAGGCGCCAAGCCCGGCGACCTTGGTACCCCGTGTTTGGGGGGTTTCACAGGGAAACCCACAGGAACGCCATTTGGGGCACCCTAAAAACATCTAAAAACCGGTCGAGCCATGAAGCCAAACCTGGCCCAGCCTGGACGGAAGGCGGTTCCAGGTGAGAGGACACCGGCGAGGTCGGCATCTCTGTGGGCACCTCGGGCATCGAAGCTCGAAGCGCGCTTTGCTCGCGCAGGAGTCTGGCTATAAACCAAAATGGGATGTGGAACCCCGAACATGGGTGGTGTCCGTTTAGTTTTTTTTTCAACCAGCCTGAAAATGGATCCCTCAAAACACCAAATAGACCCATGTGCCTAAAACTCTGGACTCCAAGAATACTAAAAAAGCACCGCTACGCGCGCTGGCGCGATTACGCTCTGCCCCCATTGTATTGTGGGGCCAGGGGTTGGTTCTGTCGTGGCAAACAGTGTACATCTGTGTATATTTGTTAACCAAGATGCACACGCAGTGGTACTTGTAGCCCGCTTCTGACATGGATATGTACATCTGCATACTATGAATTAGCCACCGTGTAGAATGTGTATATATATATATATATGTGTAAATTGTACTTAGTATATATATATATATATATATGTCGGAGTTTTGCCAGTTGTTCTCTTTGATTTCGCCACCACGTGAATTGCATCTTGACGCAAATCGGGAAAGACGGCCCTGCTCGGATCCCCGAAGGAACAGGCCCTAGGCCCTTGGGCCTTAAGGGCTCTGTCTGCGGAAGGCTTGGGGGAACAACCCTAAGCCTTGCCAAGTGGGTGGAGCTTTGGAGGGAGCCGTTTTGGGGTAATTTAAAGAAGAACCCAAAGGAACATGCCCACTTGGGGGTCCAAGTGGATCTCTTGAGTCTTGGGAGCTTGGGTTCTTAATTCAAAGGCCTCACGAACAGTATCCAGAGGTGTGAGAACTGCATCGCTGAACAAGGGGCGGACAAAAAGCCCTGGCGGATTTGTCAGCCTGAAGGACGTTTGGACGAAACTAGGCTGGCCAAACCCCCTGCCAAACATGTGTCAATCGCCAAACCAATTCAAACACGCCAAGAAAGCTACCAAAGCATCGCCACTCACTAAGGTCTACAGTACATCCTGAAAATCACCCTGAAATTGGTTGTTTAGAGGGAGACCATCCCCCGAAAACAATGGGAAGAAGATGCTTCATACCTCAAAGGTTGATTTGATAGACCCAAAAAGCTTTGAGAAACCTTCTGAACATCTAACCACTTGGGAAGCACCCCCCCCCCCACCCACCCTCTACCCCCCGCCCATCCCAGCCCCCCCCACACCAACCACCCCCTGTCAGGCTTTTTCTACAACCACCGCTTTGGGCTTGCAAAATACAAAATGAGTGGTCATGAAACACCCCCCAACTTGGGCGTTCAAGCTTGTAAGTACGGCATGACCATGGTTCTAAAGGGACAAAGCCCAGTCATAACCACAGACATAACCATTTTGGCTAATTAGTAAGTTGGTTGAACACCCCCAACCCGAAAAAGCTCCTTCCCCAAGCGGGACCCCGGCCGGCATCTCTGAAGGGGAGACCAGCGCTGATGACCCCAATGCAGAGGAGCCCAGCGCAGCTGGCAGGGAGCGGACAATGGGACGTGGGGGGCGGCTTTTGGAAATGGACTTGATACAATTTGTGGAGGTTCACGTTGATGTTCAAAGGCATAAACAGGATTCATGTCTGTTCCTGAGCTCTCATGGATGGACCAACAAAGAGTAGCATCCAAGTTTGGGCTAGAACGCAAGAATGTGTTCAAACCACGAGTCGATTCAAGTATCCGTAGTTCATGCTTACAACCACCGCATGCATGTTTCACCAGGCTTAAACATGTGTCACCACGTTTGAACAAGGCTTGCTCAGTCGGCTTGTGCGGGGGCCAACGGAGGTCTTGCTAAGGCCATGCACCGCCACTTTTTGCAGGGCACAAACTGAGCCCTTGGGTTGGTTCCCACGAACCGCCAAAACAAGCCACAACTCAAACGTGCAATGTTTTCGAAAACCGTAGAGAACCTTTGATCGTGTTTCAACAACCTCTTCTTGATGTGCTTCAGTTGCGACCACGCGCTGCCTGCTAAAACCAATCTTGTTTTCCCGAGCGGGGCCATAACACGCTTGGGGTTCTTTTGGGCTTCCCTTGACCAAGTTCCGAAGATAGAGGCAGATCCCCTACGTGTTAGGACCAAGTTCAGACAGTCAAATAGCTGCATGTCAAGGACCGGGTGCAACCAAATGGGTCTTGCTCGTAAGGAGAAGGTAAGGACAACCACCAATATTGGGGTTGTCCTACTTTGACACACACCCGAGTGGTACCGTTTGATCTTAACATGTTCTGCCCGAACTCCGTATGCGCGCCTGATCTGACAGGCAGCAGCATCTCCTTGGTGGTCGATGCATGCACAGAGCGATCGAACCAAGAAACCAGCGATAGGGAGAAACGAGAAACCTACTTAGACGGTCTGGGAGTTAATTAAATGGTTGGTAAACATGTTTATACACCACTTACTACGGTCCCCCAAGCAGGTTATAACCAGGGTTTCAATCCATTTAGCCAAGACCCGGACCTAAGCAGGCCGCCCCGCTACCTGAGAACCTTCTTAGGGGTTCTGATTCTGGGTAGCGGAGCTTTCAGTGAAACCGGAACTTGCGGGCGGTTGATATTGAGTGGACGCCCGCTTTTGGTCCAAGGGAAACCAAACATGTACGCGGGTCCCGATTCGGGACCCCTGAGCTGCCAGCTTGGTTTTTCAGGTTGCCTTTGAAATAAGCTAAAGCCGGCGAGAACCGTCCCGCAACCCTCGCCCGGCTCCAAAATGCTCCGGAGCCCATCTGCGGCCCACCAGCTTTCGGCTGAAACACGTGCATGGCGCTCTGACCCTCATGAGCTCTGACCCTCATGAGGGTTCCCGGAGCCCCTGACTTTATCTGACGGATGCGAAAAACTTCCAACCCCGAACTTCAGCTGTTGGGACAAGTGGACTAAACAAACTGCAGGTCGCAAGGTCCGTGACCAAAGCGAGCGGGCCCGATGCTGAGAAGTGGGCTGTGGCTGTGGCCGTTGGGACGCCTGGAGCCCAAACCAAAAGCCGCCCGACATCACTCACCGACCAAAATATGTGCTTGGAGTGGCGAGGCTCTTCTCCAGTGATTTGGTGTTGGGTTGCTTTGTCGTGGTTGTTTCGTGCAATTGCCTTTTTTTTGCTTTGAAATTTGGTGTTGTTGTTTTCCTGGCGTTGCTTGGTGCCCTTCTTAGCGTTCTTCCTTTTGGCAGGTGTCAAGGCGTTCCGCCCCGGACTTTTCCAAATCGAGCAGTTGCCATGAGGAAATGCCTTTCTGCAAGTGATGTTCGAAGGAAACTCTCTCCGAACAAAGGCGAAAAAGGAATGTCCGGCGCTGGTTGCCCAGTTCGGATGTTCCAGCATACCTGCTGAGACACTACAAGCTTCGTAACTGCCTGCCAAACTAACACCTCTCACTTGTCAGCAGAGGCTGGTAAATCCGAGGTGAAAAGTTACAGGAGACACAAATTTGCTAGCCATCAGGTCATGAAGGGAGGCTTTGTGACAAAGGGCTGACGCTATGATGTGGCCAGGATCAAAGTAAGCCCCTGTTTGGTGCTACGTGAACTAAGTGACTCTCATTGCCGTAGAACGACAGCACGAAAATCAGCCAGAAGCCAACTTATCTGGCAAACAGCTTCTGAAACCTAGGTGCCCTTTCGAATCACTAGATGGATTCCTGCTGTCCTTGATACAAAGCTGGAAGCAGTGGAATCCTCCGTTTTTGATTCGCAAACTGAAGCCAGAACAACACCTGCAATCCCAGCCCAAACACTTCTGCCCAGCCTGACAGCAATGTGCCCGCTTCCGCATCCACTGTCAGTGTTGGAACCTGCAACGCTTGCGGTTGCAAGCGGAAAGCTGACCCGATTTGATCAATGTTCTACTGTTGTGGCTTGGTCATTGTCTTAAGATTCCGGGCAATGCTGCGAATGCAGGGGCCCTGCAGCAAGAAATTCGCGCGGTTCTTCGCCTTCTCATCTCAGCCATGCTTTCCAAACAGGGCCACTGGAAAAGGACAACCAAGGACCTGGGCCACCATTCTACAGCCTCAAGACTTGGCTGGGTTTTGAGAGGCCGGTTTTGCCGCAAAGAAACCGACGGACATGGACATAACTGCGCCCCGAATCCGACTTACCCTGGGCGGGTATCTTAAGGAGTGTGTCAATCAGGGATGCTAACTCCAGAGGCGTGTAGCTGCGGCCTGAGACAATAGGAATCGGGCCTTCTAAAACTTGCTCACATCCTATTTCAAGAAGTCCCAACAGACATAAGAGGGTGCAGAGTTTACCTTGTTGTGTTCCTCCTTGCGATTGAATTGTTGCCTTAACAAACAAATCGGTAAACTTATCGATGTACCTTCCTCCAACGAACATAGCATTTGTGGGACAGCAAATCAAAGATGAAGGACCATGTTTCTGGAAGGAGGGTAAAGTCCACGCCCATAAACTCAAGCAATGAGGCTACTGGTTAGTAACCCTGGTGACTAAACATTCGGGGGGAAATGCCTAGGCCGCGCCTAGCGGGTGTTTAGCCGCCCACCCTGCTTGAAACTGGGAACTTACATCACTGGTAAGTAGCATGGCTGGCCATTTTCGTACGAAAAACCAACCCGAGCCAACCCCGAGCGTCCCGCAGCACCATTTTCATCGCACGGTTTGCGCCTCCAGGGTGGCATCCACCGGTGAGGTGGGCAGCTCCGTGGGCACCTCGCAGGGAGGGCTGGTCGGTCTGCTTGCTCCTGGTGCTTGGCGGGTTTTCCCCTGTACCCCCCAACAAGAACCAGGAGTTCCCATTCCCCGTTTACACCTTCAAGCCCAAATGAAAGCCGCGCTTGGCTTCCAATCCCCAATCAGGTTCCTCTGCAAATGACGGTTTGGTGGGTTCCTTCCGATACAAGATGGGAAAATGAAACTTGTCCTGTGGGGCAGCGGGGTGTGTCACAAACCCCTCTAAACTCTGAAAGGCAAAAAGGCTAAGGGTGTGGCTGGGAACAGGTAAGAGGGATAGGGGCCAAAGGCAAATCCACCGCCAACGAGGCTCCGTCAATGTCCTTTTGAATCATCATCCCGCCAGCTTTCTT